AATGCCTCGACAAGACTTTTTTGTACTTCATCTTTTGCCCAGTCATGTAAAACATTATCTAAATTCTCAAAACTTTCCGCCATTTCAAAAAACAGAGGGAAAAACTTTGAAATGATGACGTCAATCGTGCGTCTGTCCTCCAATAGATCATAGGCGAGAACCAATCAAAATGCGAGAATTACTTGGGTTATTATATAATAAACAATTAGATCATGACCTCGAGATTTCTATCGCGTGATCTATCACGCATAGAATCGAGAGCGAATAATTGTTTTAGTATAAATCTACTAGTCGTTCAAAACTTTATCTAAATCCTCTTGACGGACACTTCGAAAACGCCAAGAAGCGGCCGTCATTTTGTTAACAAGGGAACACTGCTACGCTACTCACTATCTATCACATAATAGATAGTGAGTAGCTGAGTAGGTGTAGCCAATCAGAGAACGGCATTCGTGATAGAACGTTAGTAGATTTATACTAAAACTCAATAGGAACAGAACGAACAGATGTGTCAACTGCCTGTGCGAGCTTAAAGAAAGTAAGTGGGCTTTGATCTTCTGTTCATTCTGCAATCAGAATAAACGAGTGATCTTCATTTCGTCTCTCGCTCTTTGAAAAAAAAAAAAAAAAGAGAGAGAAAAAGAAAAAGAAGAAGAAGGAAAAAGGAGATTGCTCTGTCTATTTGACTTAGTGCCAGTCTCTGCTCCTGTTAAAGCGTCTAGCACGGATAAATGTACGTAGCCTACCTTGTTGAAGGCTTACATGCCTACCAACTGCATGAATTTCAGACTGCAATGTAATAAACGAAGGAACTTGTATGACATCGCTAGAACTGTTCACCAGTCCCTCAACTTGACGGTAGACAACTGAAGGGCCGATGGCAACGACATAGATTCGGGTACCCAACTTTTCAAGCTGTTCTCTAGCCCCTTTCAGTTGGTCAACGTCGGTTGCTTGAGGACCTGACGTGAATAATATAACAGTTTTCGGTGCAGGCTGTCGGTGATATCTGAACATGCGAACAGCCATTTCCAATGCCTTGTCTATCCTTCTCGGTCCTCTAATTTGGCTGGTTCTCATAATTGCTTCCAGAAACTCATCAAAATCCGTAGAGTCCTTGAATTGTACACTTGGCCGGCTGTATTTGCCATATGTTATCACGCTTGCACGAACTCCACTCTCAGAAACCTTGAAAGCCTTCGCTAAGGATATCGCAAACTCTCTCTGCCTCTTGAAGTCGTTCGTTTCTACCTCCTCAGAAGAGTCCAACAGGAAAACGACACCTGTATCTTTACTTAATGGAGTTGAGAAGTCTGTAAAATTGAAAAACAAAGAAAAATGATAGCTCTTAGACATACGACTTACGGTATGTCAAATCCATCAGCAAAAGCTTCTTAATGCGCTGTTTGTAACAGTCACGTGACGAATTGTGCCCGTAACCTACCTTTACAAGTCATACATCAACAACAATATAATAATACTAGTTTTGAAACGCTTTGGAGTGGTATAACCATAGAGTATCCCACGGGTCACGTGTATCTCATTATACATTTGAGCCTTTTTCTGCCATGCTATAGAAAACACTGTGGCCAACACATACGCGCAGCGCACGATGGGATGTTTGGGTGTAATACCGTCGAGCATAACACGGAATTCCTGTATTCTGATTGGCTGTATTTTTCACAATACTGGTATATTGTGAAAATACACTTAGCTATGGAATGGTGCGTTTACACATGCATATAACCAGAGACGGAGTCTACGATAACACGCCAGCTAGGTTACAAATATTGAAGTTTGAAAAAAGAGAATCATAAATGGGAAATGATCAATCCAACCAGAGAAAATATACTGCTACTATCCAGGCTAATCTAGTGGAGTTCATGCTTTTTTTTTTAACACGAAGTCCTGATTGATACACGACGCATCGTTATATCCCTGATATAAACGCCGGACTACTTCCCATGATGTGGGATTTACGACTGGCTGGTCAGAAAAAAAAAACTGCGGTGGCATTTTTACCTGAATTCACTCTAATATAACTAGCTGCAGATGAAAGGTATGGCTGTAATGCTTCTTGAGATTTGTCTTCGATGATGTTACGGCCTCCAACAATCTGATTTAGCCTCGAAGAATCGATACCCTCCCCAATAGCTATCACAAACACGCTGACACCTTGACCGCGAAGAGCCTGGACAGGTGGCCTTAAGTCGGTCCCAGGATCTGTTAGTTGACCTCCATGAGTGAAAATGAGCAAAATCTTCGGAACGAGCGGTCGCGCTTGAGAAAATGTCTGGTAGGCCAGCTTTAAAGCTCGGTCAATTCTCTTGTTGCCGCCAATGTAAGGAAGCGAGCTGATGGATTGATTGATGGCCTCGTTGGTCGTTCGACTACCAAGTGGCACCGCCAGCTCTGCGGTCTTTCCATAAGGGATTATCCCAGCTCGGACGTAGCGAGGGGATATTTCGAACTGCCCAATGATTTTTCGCAGGAAACTCAGTTCCTCTCCATAATTTGCTTTGGGTACCGCTGATGAAGAATCAAGCAGGAACAACATGTCCGCTGTGATTTCCAAAGGCGGGATTGGATCTGCATCAAAAGAAAAACAAAAAAAAAAACCAACCAACAAACAAAACAACAAGAGAATTGAGAATAACGTGTCAAGAGCAGCAACTGTATGCGAGGCGATATTTATTAATGTCAAGTTGTAGCTAGCTTTATTTCAAACGTTTTTTCACCTTTTATTAGAAAGTACAGAATTCAACTCGAGATGAAAATAACAGCCTTTTCAAATCTTAGCTTCAAAGAGTCTGGACCCGGACAGTGTCTATTAAAAACATGGCTATTTTTTTCAAGTTTCTTCATTCTGCCCTGATAGTCGGGGCCATGCTTGATAATTTTGGGTTGATCTAATTTTTTATTTTTTTTTATTTTTACCAATCAGTTTGATCCTACAATGTGAAAGTAATTTTGTACGTGTAGAATATGACTTATAAAAAATACGATGACATAGCTTAAACTATTGCCTCTACTCCCGGAGAAGCATCAAATGTGTAGAGAGCAGTCACTTCAGCAGAACCGTTGTGCTGAGTTTGATGAGAAGAAGAGGCTAAACTATGTAGCGACATTTGAATTGATGTTGCATTAACTTCAGCATAGCATAAGCACAAAGTTTGGTTCTTGGTGCAAATTTTTTTTAATTTTTTGCTGATAGTAAACATATCGTCATTAGTTAGCCGTAGGTGTGCTCAAGTAACGTCAAAGCAAGCAAGCAACGAAGTGTCTACTATTTTTTACGATTAAATGGTCATAATTCTAAAGTTAATCAGCTATTATGGTGCTTCTCGAATAGAAAAAGAACGAATACAACCACAGCAATTCAAACAACAACTCACCGTACTTGTCAATTTGATTCACAATGCGATATGTCTGTTGTAAAAGCTTCTCAAAAGAGTCCACAAAGAACACGTCCTGTCGTCTTCTGGTGAGGAGATACAACTCATTGATGTCAATGTAAACACCAATTCCGATGACGTAAACTTGAACTCCCAGGTCGTGTAGTGGTCGGACCGCTACGTCCAGCGGCTTCGCGTCAAAGTCTTCTGTCTGTTTTCCGTCGGTGAGGACGAAAGCGATTCTCGGTACGGACGGACGAGAAGTGGAAAAAATCTCCATTGCTAGTGCCAGTGCTTTGTCGATGCGTGTTCTGTTGCCTAAATATTCCAGGTTATCTATGGCAGTGTTGATGCTTGGTTTGTCGTTGTAAGTGTCAAAGTCGAACATGAGCTTTGGGTCGTCGCTGTATATGATCGTGCTGACTCGTGCCTCCGTCGGAGAGATGCGGAACACATTCGTGAGATCTTTGACGAACTCCTTTTCGCGATTGTAATCCTCGGGCCCAATGCTTCCCGACGAGTCCATTATAAAGACCACATCAGCTTTGTTTCTGACAGATACTCCGTCGGCTTAAAAGAAAGAAAGGAAAACCACATATGAAAGAAAACCAATTCACAACCACTCTTAATAAGCATAGAATCAGGTAGTAAAGCACCAAAAAAAAAAAAAAAAAAACGAAAACGATAGTTTGCGTAGCAAGCATTTCTGTACGAAGAGCTTTCTACGCATTCTTGTCGCGTGCAAACTGGAGAGAGAATTTTTTTGGAGCTCTCGCAATTTTTAATCTCTCTCTAGGCTCCAGGAAAGAAGGGTATACGCTTGATAATACAAAAATAAGTCATTCACACTTGATTGATGAAAGTGAACATATTTACCTCTTTCAAGGCATGCATAATTGCAACCATTAAGACAACACTTTTTCGTGCCAGGGCAGTCAGTGTCGCAAGTGCAGTCATCCCAAACCAATGAAGGACAGTCAGTTCGCTCTGGGACTGGTGGACATACTCCAAACCTTATCCGACTTGTAACTGTAAACGAAAACAACAAGAACTGAAACAACAGCATCATCAAAAGTGACACACAAAAAAAATCATTCTCGTGCCCACATGCCGTGATTCTTTTAGTCAGCAGCGGGAGTAAAGGTTCTCGGTTGCTAGGGACCAGAATGCAGAAACACCTAACAACAGCTGAAAGAAAAATATCTTCACCAACAAAAAAAGAAAAACAAACAAACAAACAAACAAACAAACAAACAAACAAAAAAAACGACAACGACAATAGCAGCAACGACAGCGTCAACATGAACTGTTATTGTCATCAGAAACTTTTCTCCCACGCTATTGTTGAAAACGTTACGGGATATCCGAAAGTATCCTACATGTAATCTCTTTTGCAGTCAGCGCGTATAACGGCTGCAAGGGAGATTAGCCTCTTCAGTTACAATTGATTTTTCCCAGTTCTGAAAATGTTTGTTTTAATATCGCGCGTTTAGTTTTAATCTCAATTATCAAATTGTTAAAGATGATTTCCAGTCCGTACTGCGCAGTCTCAGCACCCTAATGTTTATAAGTCTCACTCGATGGAATGTGAATCGATGATACTCGTTACGAACCACACACCTTTACTTTGAGGCCTTTCGAATTCTTTTTCCAACTGCTTCATTGATTTTTAGAGCTGCAAATTTGTTTCATCAAGTGATATGAGAAAGAACGAAACATAAAGCTTCGCGTCCATAATGGCGGTTGAGATGAATCTTTGAACTTTCTTCATGTAAGTAGTTGCGAAATGTTCAACAAAAAACGTAAACAAACTTTCGAGAGCGCGCAGTACGGACTGGAAATCATCACATCATAACAAAACGTTTGGAACCGACGATAAATCTTATTGAAAAGCGATAAAGACAGCTTGCAAAAGAGGTCTCCCGGCAAAAAAGCTCCTTTCTGTTCGCATATCGAAAAATATAATGTCCATGGACAAGTATCTTTGTTATAATCCATCAAATATTTTCGCTTGCACGCGATCGGTCTAAATGCGTCACGTGAATGAATATGCCCCAGCTAAAACTGGGGAATATCCAAGTGATGTTCCCTAATTTTCAAAAAATCCCGCGTGTTGCGAAAAATATTTGAAGGATAGTAAACATCATAGCCTCTATTTGGCGAGAAAATATACTCGGGTATTTGTCCTTGAACATTATCTGCTCCACGAAACTCACAGTTTTCGGAGCAGATAACGACCGCGGATATATATCCAAACATATTTTCGCGCCCAAAGGAGGCTGTTTATATATTTTTGCACCAAATGGAGATTAGTATTTTTCATGATCAACAACAAACATCTTGGAGGAAGTCTCAGTAAGGGGAGGAGTGATTTGGGAATATTTTTCTCAGTCCTGATTTTGCCCAGTGATTTTTGACTGCCTTTTGAGGCGTAGGGTCGATTTCCGCCGCTCTCTCCAGTCCGATTTTCGTTCCTCATCCCGAACAGCGGCTGGTAATCGAGCCTATTTGAGATACACTACGAGTAGTCCCTCTTTCGCTTAATCCGTCGTGCGTGGCGCAAAAGAAAATCGCGAGAAAAAAAATGGTCGCGTGACCAGGATTTCGTGCGGGCATTTTTTTCTCGCGGTTTTCTTTCGCGTCACGCACAACGGACCAAGCGAAAGAGGGACCACTCGTAGTCTATAAATTTGAGACGTCGCGTTAAACAAGCCAAACTCTCATTACAGGAATTGACTCCGACATTATTTCAATATTTTCAACCTGTAACGTGACTTATTAGTAACAGAGAAGGATCAATAAATGAACCATGAGTGTAAGGTGTTCCCCAAGAAAATCCTAGTTCTGGGAGGCCTTATGTCACGCAACATTGCGTGACGGAGTTTCAGCGCTCCAAAAGTAACCACTCAATAAATCTTAATTAAAAGATTAAGATTTAAATCCCATATAAGTGTTTACCACCAATTCAACAAAATTCCCGCACGAAGTTGAAGTTTAACTGGCAGAAAAGGTTGAAGAAAAGCGCCGATCATAACTTTTGAATCATTTCTTAAGAAACACTAGCCTCCTCTCAGGCGATCTAATGGCTCGTCACGCAATTTTTGGGAGGAAAAATTGCGTGACGAGCTAGAAGAACTTCTGCGTCGGAGGGTCGGAGGCTACTCGAACATCGAATGCGGACGAATACGTCAATTACGTTTTGTAGAGAGTGATATACTCTTCTAGGGTGTTTTTTTATATGGTATTTCAAACAAAAAAGTATACTTAAAGCGAAACAACACGCGTTGGAGGTCTGGTGTCCCAGGGAGAGTTAATCACAGATTTATTGCATTCCTTCATGTCTTTAATTTAGAACAAAGATTACGCTGTGGTTCAAAGTATTCATAGGACTCGCTACCAAACTTAAGTCCGTGAGAAACCGAAGATGTTGGAAACACAACAGGTACATTTGAGTCGCCCTTGAGACTTACTGAGGTCAGAAAACCGCTGCGATTTCGTCTCTCGCCGCTCGTTGACACCTTCAACTGAGATGAAAACACAACAAAGAAAATCTCTGTGATCAGAGTACAGCTGAAGCCGTCATAAATAAGCTTATATATATTTCCTCGTGATCTAAATAAAAGACGAATCCGCTGCTCTAATCGACGGCCAGATGCAATTGCAAGATCTTTCGAAACGTTGATTTAATTTTATGTCGCGTCAACTTCTACAGTGACAGAATCCAAGTTATAAAATTTACAGACAATTTGTCATGTGCTGTTTATGACGAACTACTCAGTCATAAAATACCTGAATGGGCACTTACCCTGCGCTTCGATGATCCGGAGTGTGATAAAAATCAATAGCAGTGTCTTGACCAGAGCAGATGGTGTCTTCATCGCTTCGGTAGTCGTTTTTCTTCAGAAATTCATCCACAACTCCAGAAATCCAATCTTCGCAGAGTTACAACAGATATTTAGGATTCGTGTGTTCCGTATAGCAGATTTGTGACAGTTCCTTCAAACGGCTTATCGAAGAAACCTCGGGAGAAATTCCTCACTTGGCCAGCGGTGAGATTAGCAGCTGTCGGAGGTAGCCAGATCCGTGCATAAATTACTATCTGTGGAATGGGATCAAACAAACAGAGGATTGGAAACTGCCGATCCACCAGGAGCGCAGTAATACGCGATAACCAAGAAATAGTTTTGTTTCACCTTTTCACCTTTAACGAAGGATCATATCTCGTCTGTTCGAAAAGCCTGATGATCTCATTTTACCGAAAGGATTGCGATGTTGGGGGCTGGACGGAAGCGGTGGGCTGCACATAAACGGTTTTAGCTGTTAAATAAGTTCTTTACAACTAGGGCTTTATTTCGAAAACGATATAGACGCAAACAAGCATCTCCTGTTCAAAGTCATGTATGAATTGAGAACCAATTATCAGAAGAAATTCTCGGGAAATGATTAATTTGCACCCCTGAAGTGTAACACTGTATGATGTCAATAGCAATTGTTATATGATAAGAATGTTGTTATTACGTCTTCGAGAGTGAAAATATACCACCTTCTCAACTTTAAAGATCGCATTGATGACAGCGCAGTCTTGTTCTAGTCATCACCAGAATAAATGCGCGTGCTTTTTGTATAGGAACTTAAGTTCTGTTTCTGCTAGTTTTTGCCGTCACGAGTATGCTAGAACCTTTTCGATGTTTATAAAGTTCAGGGTTGGACAAATGGACCAATAAACACAAGGTACTTCTCAGTTTATATCAATGGAAACAATTTTGCCGGTTAGAGAGCATTATTTATTGTATACACTTATTAGGTAAGTTTTCTACTGTTACTGTTTTATGGCCTTATCTGCCTCTTGGCATCAGAAGACTTGGGAGGGCGGGGGTACTCCCTTATATGGCCCATGTAAGCATGTGCGGCCCCAAAGGGTATGGTTTATTTAGCCGTCAGTGGTCAGAAATTATAGGGTATCGATTTTGGCCATTTTGGTCTCAAATAGGGTTTGGTTTTTGCACTCTAGTCTTGAATTGAGTGTCAGGTCTTATAAAGGGTATCGAATTTTTGTTCAGGTCATAAATATGGTGTAGGGAAAATCGCAGATTTTGATCTTACTAGGGTTTAAGGCTTTGGGAAGCGGCCCACACGCCCTACCCAATCATTCTGTAAGGGCTGGGGAGTAGCAGTAATACTCTTAGAGAGTAGGACCAATGACCTATGTTTGATCATGCAATCAACAGCAGCTGAACGCTCGCCGTACATAGAGTAAGAAATATTGTCTAACAAATATTGTCCTCGTGCGAAACTCGTACGTGAAAATTTGCCTAGTTGGCAGTAATCCGGAAGACTAAAAATAAAACGGAAGAGGATTGCTCTAGGGGTTTTAATTTTTAAGTGGATTAAAATAATTAAAGCATCCTTTGCGAACAGTTTTAATCTCATTAGCGGTGTCTTCTTTAAAACAACTTGATGCGCGTGTTCACGTGAATCGTTTTAACGCAACTATAGGTGTGACAACTTGGTAGCTGCCTTATTTGATTGAGGTAGAAGAAAGCGTCAAAATAGAGCAGCTTTTAGGGTAAATCCATNGGGGGGGGGGGCACTCCCATATAAAAAGGACGGGGCTACTCGTCGGAAATTTTGAAAAGAACCACTATAAAGAACCCTGTTTTGTGGCGGTCACTTGAAATTTTTTTTACCCCTACGAGGTACCAATTCTAAAGCAACACATTACCGACACTGACTTTTTGTAGCTCAAAACCCCTTTAAAGGTATCGCAAAAGCTCCTGCTGTGGGACATGTCGAGACTGAACACCCTAAGAGATACCGATTCTGCTTTTTAAAGCCCAAACAGGTACAACGAGCATCCCTTTCCTTTTATATGTTAGTTCCCTTCCCCGTGTTGTTGACATCCGGTGACCTATTGCTTCCCTTGATTGCGTCTTTAACATCAATCTTGTTCGAGGAATGTGGTTTCAATATAATTGGCTCACGCGCAGGAAAGAAAGGCGGGTTATTCCGACAAACCCTCTGTGGAAGAGTGCCAGAGATGAAGCACGCTGACTAGAAAGGCCAAGGTTCAAGTACCTCTTTGTTATGAATTGATGAACAGAAGCAGAAGTTTCCAACTTCAAGCTAAGTGCAGATATGATGTGTTATATTTAAAACAAGCACCTACGCCTCTCAGGAAATAAACCCATTGGCTATAGTGTTTCTGTGTTATGTTTATTGGGTAGAAACTCTATCACACGAAGTGATGACTATCAGCGTCGACTAATCGATGACGCTCGCGTTGAACACGTAAGAAACGGCAAGTCGGATTTGCGATAAAAGCGCACTTGCGCGGAGCGATTTTCGTTTGTTCTCACGTCTGAAGGTTACTCTTTACCGTGAAAAGACGCGAGATAATGCGCTAGATCTTACTAGTTCACGATGTACAGGGGAGATTATTATCCTAGTGTATCCCATTCATGGTATAATTCTGTCATCCTCACGCTCGATGCGAACGCGACGCAACTCGCGAGAGGCGAGGAATGACTCGAGAGGAATCTAAAGTCACTCGCAGGATGCGAGACAACTCGAGAGGGAGAGCTGCGCTCGCGACACGCGAGGAATGAGGCGACTTTAGAGAAACGACGAGATAAATAATCTAATTCACGTAACTTGCGTGTTAATTCAACATTTTATGAAAAAGCAGGACAAATAACCCTGTATGATCACAAAAGTTTCTTCCTTTTTGTCTAAATATAGACCTACGCGTATTATGGTAGTTTGCAACTACACTCACGTTAATTACATACAAAACCATGACTTTCCAGTTCGTGCTATGGTTTGCTCGTGGCATTTTTCCTTAACTTTTCCAGCATTGTGGTAAATATCTTATTGATCAAGCTTGCTCGGGACAGGCACTT